TCATAAAAGCATGATAATCTGGAGCGGGGAAGCTTTAAAGAGGAGTGTAGATGTACATGGATGCTATGTTTGTGTAGCAAGACATATTGCTGCTATGACAACAAGTCAGATATATCCAAACATAGCATTGAGGACCAAAAATCTATAATGTATTTTAATAATTACATGGGCTACACCACAGTAAACCCTCTCCCAGTTCCACCCTGATCAGCTCCAACAATCACTATTGCAGTCTGTCTTATGTTTTCTCCTATCAGGAAATTTTACAGATCGACTTGTTTAGTAAATTTATGTTCTAGAGATTAGCTTTGTGTTGAAGCTAATGGTCGTGGTAATGGATTGCTGATACTATTCTTGGTGGAAAAAGTGTAATTAATTCTTGCTGAATTGTTGCCATTTGTGTACTTTGGTTCAGTAAATGAGGGTAGTTTTTCAGTCTTTGGTCAATATGTTTGATAATCCATATGTGAATATTTAGGGGTAACTGAGGGTATACTGTTGATTTTATTGTTGTTGTTGAGAATGGGGTGTTATTTTGGTTGTGTGTTGTTATGATTCTTGGATGCATAGGTGAAATATTTCGTTGTGTTGTTGTGGGTTTTGTTTCAACTATTTCTTAAAAAAATATTTCTTCTTCTAAAATGTGACTGTGGTTGGTTATCTTGCTGGGTCATTTAGTAGTTCCATTTAAAGTTCCTTGTGTATTTATAAATAATGATTTTGGACTATTATCGAAGCTTCTATCACTAAAAATTGTGGTGTAATTTAATTTTGTGGTATCTGTTGTTAATGGAGTTACCCCTAAATAATATTTGTTTACTGAGATGGCTGCAACTGCTCCTGCAATTGAGATATCATTTGGTATAATGAAAAATAAAAAAATTGAGACCAATCTTGGTCGCCTAAATAATTATTTCATCTGCTAGTTTTAATTTGTCGTCATTTCTTTCCTGTGAATTGAGATCTAGATTACGTTGGAAGTAATCTATTATGAATCAAGCTAGGATTATTTATAATTCATCTTCATTTATTTGTGATACTTTTCAGTGAGTATTTCACGCAGGCGTTTAGGAATTTTTAGCAACTCACGCAGGAAGCCCATGAAGGCATCTAGGAATTTCTCGAGGAGGGTGGCAGATTTAAAAACAAGTTTGAAATGTTTGCCTACATTTTTTTGGTTCTACCAAAATGATTTTCTGAGCTCTGTGAAACCACCATAACGACTCTAATTTGACCCATACTTCTGCGCCGGAAGAAATTATTGAAAAAGGCAATTTTAAGCAGTTTTTGGAAAATTCTGACCAAAAACTGCTTTTTTGGCGCGCTCCCCTTTATAGTTAGTGTATTAGGGGCCATTAGAAAGTTTTAAAGCCAGCCATGCAAAAATGGATATTTGAAAATAGTACAAAAAAGGATCCATTCGGTCGACATGGGGTCGAATCCCTAAGGGGGGGGACTGCTCCTCTCTTCCTAATTCCGCTTCTGATTTCTAAATCCGCTCCTGATTTTTTAATCAAAAAGTCGTGAAAAAGATTAAGCTGTCGTCTTACTATTACGTGTCCAGGTCTTTGTGGCGAAGATACATAAAATGACTTGTTTGTCTCCAGTATTGAAAAGTAAATATTATTGGAGTAGAAAACATCATTTTTGAAAATTGAAATTGCTCTTTGTGAGTTTTGATGATAAATGTTTTTAATGTGTTTTAAAAAAACATTTGAAAAATTTCACTCTATATCACCTGTTTGTATTCGATTCAACGGTTGGCTGGATGTATTTGGTGGTAAAATTTCAATTACGATTGTGCCATAGTTTGATTTATACCTAGTAGATGGTGATCAATTACTTGCCCTCTGATTTTTAATTCTGGCAAGTCTTTTTTACATGAACTATTTCTTTTGGAACAAGTTACGATTGACTTGTGACAATATTGTATTTTTCCTCTTGATGTATCGCTTTTTTGTTCATTAGCGAAGATACGGAGAGTATCATCGTCAAATTTATTGTCGCATTGAAACTTTTTTTGAGCGGTATTACGGTCAAAATAAAACTTTCAATATGTCTTATAGGTTGATTCTAATTATACAACCTAAATGGTTTGCGAATATTCGAGTTTTTTTCCGCTTTGCCTTTAATGGATGATGCTAGTGTGGCTTCCAATCCGGCAAAATTTTTCAATAATCTAGTGGCCTATTTTTGTTGCTTAGTAGGTCTCGAAGACTTTGAAGCTTTTGTAATTTTCTTAAATCAGATTCCGAAACAGCCTTTCTTGTTCAGGAATGTTTTGATTCTAATATTTGTTTTTGTTTTGAAGTTAATTGCTTCTTTTTCTTTCGCTTTTTTGATCCAATATATACTTTTATTTGCCTATGCAATGTGAATACGAGATCATATCTTGCTTTTTAAATTAAACAGTTATGAAGAATTATTGTTTGTTTTATTTTCCCAAAAAATCTCTTGACATAAGTGTTAGAATGATTGATATAAAATGTAGATGTCAGTTTTATTTTTATTATAATTTAAGTTCTAAAAGTATCTTAATCTTTGTGAATAGACCGGTTGGGGAGAGAGTTTGTTTTGTTAGGTTTGTTTTGTACTGCTCTCGATTTTTTGTATTTACATCTAAGTAAAACCTAATTACTTAGTTGGGGTTTTGTTTTGAGATCAAGACTTGGAGAATAGTTAATCAATCCGCGAGGTTCAGATATAAATAAAACAGAAATAGATCGTTAGCTACCATTCTAGTTCTTACTTGTTTTAGGGTTTGTATTAGGCTTGTGTCAATCAAGAGGTAGAGCTCAAGTGAAGGATGAGTAACGGAAGCTGTTCACTATTTATCTTAAATGAAACTGGTAGTCTTTGAAAAGTTTTCAGCTAGTCTTGTCTCGATTGTAAGGGTTCGAAAGTGAATCGACGTTTGAGGTTGTTAGACACGAACTGTAAAAGTTGGGGAGTAGAAAATAATAGGTTTTTAACTGATCCTAGGAAAGCCTTGATGATCGAATACTTTAAAGTACATAAAATTAGTGCTTTGGATAAAATTTTCCAGTGTGAAGATTTGAATTGAAATCCAAGGACAACCCTGATTATCTGGTTTAAAAAATACCTTAGATTTGAGTTTGACTAGGATAGTCCTTGACAAGATTTTAAAAGTTAAACTAATTAAGGAAATGTTGGAATTTAAATTATATTGAGGTTATTCATCTAAGTTAGTTCTGAATACTTCAGGAGTATTTCAGGTGAAGAAAAGCAATAACAGAAAAATTAAGTCCTTATGAAGCATGGAACTTTTTGTGTTTTGTAAAACTGATTTTAAGTAATTTATTTAACTCGTTTTTTGTATTTTTTATTTATTCAACAAATCTGAGAATTGTAAAGTTTTTTCACAATTACTGCAGGTTGGAAAGTTTTGAGGTAGTTGGTAAGTTTGTTGTCAACTGGGTATGTAAAACGAATTAAATACTTATCGTAAAGAGATTTTTAGTTTTGAAATGAATCTGACTGTTCTATTTATTGTGATTCAAATTAGTGAGTTAAAGAAAATTGCATAAATGGTTTTGCAGAGAAATAATCGCTGTAGTTTGCTTCTTCGTTTCACGATGCAGAGAATTGGTCTTTTTGTTTGATTTTGACCTGGTGTCAGCCGTATCATTCGTTTGAATCGATTAGAATTTTTAATTGAAAATAATTAAATTGAATTATCAATTCGATTTATCTTTAGGTTGGGCGTTTTCGATCTTATTTGTCTATTCTATTTTTTTTTGCCAAATCTGAAGTAGTAGAGGTCTGTTCCAGACTCTTTTGGTCGCACCAGATGAATTAAGTCGGGGTTGGCTTTCTGTTAGAGTAATTTCCGATATGGTACATAGTCTGTTGGTAACGCCATCTTGTTTTTGGGCCGGATACATTCGTGCAACTTCTTAGTCCAATACCAATCTTAATCTTACTCTTGTATCTCCTAGTCTGAATAGATCTAGCGAGGTGATATTGCGAGGTTTAAAATAAAGAAAGAGAACTCAGAAAGAGCAACTGTTTGCTAAGTTAATTTTATTCCTCTTTGGCTGAAACTATAAATAGTTTCAGCCTATTATTTTTATGATTGATTAGTTCTAGGTATTTTACAGAGGTACTTTGTCAAGAAAGTAATTGCATATAATAAATACTTGTTTTGAGCTGGTTCCATTATAGAATGATACAATGTGTAAGTCAACAACTTGGTAACTCTCATCTTTGATGGCCATTAACTTCTTTTACTCATCAACTATTTTGCTCGGATGGTCCAAAATTAGGTATTGTTTTGTTGATAATAGTGAGAACAATTCTCTTTCAACATCCATTTTCTTGACAAAAACAACCTAATCGGCTACTTTTGATTATTTAAACCGACACACAACAAAGATTATTTGATAAACACGGACAGTATGGCATAATAACTCATATGATGAGAAACACCAAATTAAGAAGAACAAGTTAACTTCTTCAAAAAGAAAATACCCAGGTGAAAGCTAGTCTGCTATTTTAGACGGATGAGGTTATAACACATCTACCAAATTGTTCTATACACTTTGAAATAAAACAACGTGATCTGTACACTTTAAATCAGCCAAATTAAAATAAATTGTAATCTCTGGATTATATCATGTAACCAATATTTTTGAGCGTGACATTACCGGTATATCTGGAGCTTTTTTTGTATGCTAATCACTGGAACGTATTTGAACGCATTTTGTTCTGAAGTTTTGAAAACACATTATGATGCATATCAAATTACAATGTTGAAGACCCAATTACAAGGAGTTCTAACAAAAGAAAACTTGTTCTTCCAATTGTATAATTTACGAGTTGCGAGCGCATAATTAAGTGATTTGAATGCTGTAACATGTGCAAATTAAAAGCAAAATAGGATATGATAAAACAAAATTGTAACATTTTTCTATTTATGGAATTAATTTCGATGTTTTCTTTTTCTGAATTGTTTCCAATCTTCTGCTCTTGAATTTCAGCCCATTGGAAGCGCACTGTGGGGGCCGTGCTGAAAACAGACCCCGGTACCATGTTTACTGCGATTATAGAGATATGTGACACTCTGAGTGCTTCTTATCCTGAGAACTGGTGGTGTGTCAGTTGTAAATGGAAAAGTGCTAAATGGGCACTACAAGTAAAGAAAGGAGTAGGAGAGTCGGCTGAGTGGAACAATATGGGTTATTCGGTTAAATTCGATTCCCACGTGTACACTGTACCCATTGCACAACTGAAAGAGAGAGGAGTAAGGTGTTCTGCAGAGAAAAAGAGGAAAGCAAAAAAAATATTAGAAAGTGTGGCTTGGATGTTAGAGGAGAAGGATATTGGAGTTAGTAAAGAGAGTGTAGCAGATGAAGTGGTGTCTCGTTTGGACAAAGAGGGACTCAATTGGGTGCACATATGGGTATCGGAATGGTTTTCATCTAGTTTCTTCCACTCTACTCGTTCAGATGCCACCAGTCTTGTCTACAGTTACGTAGACATTTTAAATTCAAGATACCATATCTCGGTCTTCCTTACATCCTAAACATTGCAATACCTATAATAAACTCAGACATTTGTCCTTTAGTGTCGTTAACGCTTGGATCTACATGACAATCAATTTGAATGCAAAAATCAAATAAAACTAATTTGATTAGATATGCTTTCTTCAATGAAATAAATAATTTCTTTAGTAATTTTCAACTGAAGATTTCAGATCATTTTGACTAATTTTCTTACAAAATTATGTGAAATGAAAGGCTCTGTTAAACTGAATATTGATGAAGGTTTTTTAATTGCTGAAATCCTAGGTTGACCTCCATAGACCGAAAATTCTAATCATACAATTCCATAAACTAACCCGCATTGAGCGCCCAAAGTTCATAATCGATTTTATTGTCATAATTTGGACAGTATAAAATTACAAAATAATCGATCAAAATTTACTAAAAATGAATTATAATCGTTTTTTTTTTCATTTCAATATAATCCATTATAATCGATTATAATCCAATAAAAATTGGTTATAATCTTTACATTTTTATGCCAAAATAATCCAATTTCAATTTTTTTTAAGGTTATCTCATTTCCTGTTTAGTGCAGTTGCTATGTTTTACGTTTCATGAAAGGTTGAACCCGCTTCCCCAGTTTACTCTAGCTCCCCCTCCCCGTTTACCCTCTCCACGTTTAACCCTCCCCCGTTTGCTTGAACCCCCCCTCCAGTTTAAACCAAAACACCTTCCCCTCGTTTACCCCCCCCATTTTTCTTTATCCCTTACCCCCAGTTTACTTTACCCACCTGCCTGCAAGTTTACCACAACCACCATTCGTCCCCCTTTATGGTTGCATACAGGGGGGGGGGGTATTTATTAGAAGTTTTTTTGGAGAAAGTAATTAATGATTGACAGCTCTCAGTTTAACGCCCCTCTCTTTTATTGGGTTTAGGGTAACGTAAAAAAAACTTGAGAGAGTGATGTTGAGACATGGCATTTAGTAAAGTACATGGCGTAAATTTCGACACGAATTTACTTGCAATATTATTTTAAAAACGCTGTGTAGCTGATGGGGTAAACAACACTATGAAGCTGATGGGGTAAAAAAACAGTCGGTAGCTGATGGGACACAAAACACATTGTAGCTGATGGGACACAAAACACATTGAAGCTGATGAGGTACAAAATGCTAGGTAGCTGATGGGGTACAAAAAGTACAAAAGTTTATAGAGCTGACGGAGTGAAAATACTATTAGTTGACGGGGGTAAAAAACACTATGTAGCTGCTGGTGGGGTACAAAAACTATGTAGTTGTTGAGTTACGAAGCATTATAGGGCATATGGGGTAAAGACACTTTATAGCTGATGGGTTAGGAAACACTAAGTAACTGATGGGGTAAAATAATATAGTGATGATGGGGTAAAAGCACTATAGATCTGATGCTGTACAAACACTATGATGCTGATAAGGTTAAAAAACACAATGTAGCTTATCGGGTAAAAACACTATGTTGCTGATAGGGTACAATCACTATGTAGCTGAGGGAAAAACAGTTTAGATCTGAGGGGTGAAAAACAGTATAGAGCGGATGGGGTAAGAACACTTTAGAATTGTGGCGTAAAATACTAGTTAGTCAATGGAGTACAGAACAATAAGATGCTGATGAGGTAAAAAACACAATGTAGCTGATAGGGTAAGCTCACTATGTAGCTGAGGGAAAACAGTAAAGATCTGAGGGTTGAAAAACACTGAAGAGCTGATGGAGTCAAAAACAGTATAGAGTAAAAACACTATGTTGCTGGTAGGGTAAAATCACTGTGTAGCTGAGGGAAAAACAGTACAGATCTGAGGGTTGAAAAACACTGTGCAGTAAGAAACACTATAGAGCTGATGCGGTAAAAAAAATCTATGTAGCCGATGAGGTACAAAACAATATGAAGCTGATGATATAAAAAACACTATGTAGCTTATAGGGTAAAAACACGATTTAGCTGTTTGGTTGAAATTATTATGTCGCTGGGGGGGGGGGGGGGGGCAAACAATGTCAATCTGAGGGGGTGAAAAACAAAATAGAGCGGATGGGGTAAGAACACTTTAGAGTTGTGGCGTAAAAAAAACTAGTTAGCCGATTGGGTACAGAACAATATGATGCTGATGATGTAAAAAAAAACTCTTTGTACCTGATAGGTTGAAAACACTATGTAGATGAGGGGTGAAAGAATATAGAACTGGGGGGAAAACACAATGAAGCTGTTGGTATAAAGAAATTATGTTGCTAATGAGGTACAAAACAGTATGTAGCTGATGGGGTACATAAGACTATAAATCTGATGGGCTACAAAACACTATAGAGCTGATGAGGTAAAAACACTTTATAGATGAATGGTTACAAAACACTATGTACCTAGCTGATAGGGCATAAAACACTATGTACCTGATGGGGGTACAAAACACTATGTAATTGTTGGGTTACGAAGCATTATAGGGCATATGGGGTAAAGACACTTTACAGCTGATGGGTTAGAAAACACTAGGTAACTGATGGGGTAAAAATACTCTAGAGCTGATGAGGTAAAGGCACTATAAAGCTGACGGGGTACAAAACACTATGATGCTGTTGAGGTAAAAAAACACAATAGCTTATAGGGTAAGAACACTATGTAGCTGATAGGGTAAAACTACTAAGTAGCTGAGGGAAAAACGGTATAGATCTGAGGGTTGAAAAACAGTATAGAGCTGATGGGGTTAAACACACTTTAGAGTTGCGGCATAAAATACTAGTGAGCCGATGCGGTACAGAACAATATGTAGCTGATGGGGTACAAATCACTAAGTATCTGTTAGGGTGAAAACACTATGCAGCTGATAGGGCAAGAAACACTTTGTAGCTGAGGGGTGAAACATTATAGAACTGGGTTAAAAACACTGCAGAGCTGATGAGGTAAGAAAAACTATAGTGCTGATGCGGTAAAAAAAACTTATGTAGCTGATGGGGTACAAAACACTATGTAGTTGATGGGTTACGAAGCTTTATAGGGCATATGGGGTAAAGACACTTAATATCTGATGGGTTAGGAAACACTATATAACTGATGGGGTAAAAATACTATATAGCTCATGGGGTAAAAACACTATAGAGTTGATGGGGTACAAAACACTATGAAGCCGATGATGTAAAAAAAACATTATGTAGCTTATAGTGTAAAAACACTATGTAGCTGATAGGTTGAAAACACTATGTAGCTGAGGCGGAAACAATATCGATCTGTGGGGTGAAAAACAATATAGAGCTGATAGGGTAAAATTACTAAGTAGCTGAGGGAAAAACGGTATAGATCTGAGAGTTGAAAGACAGTATAGAGCTGATGGGGTAAAAACACTTTAGAGTTGCGGCGTAAAATACTAACTAGCTGATGCGGTACAGAACAATATGTAGCTGATGGGGTACAAATCACTATGTATCTGTTAGGGTGAAAACACTATGCAGCTGATAGGGCAAGAAACACTTTGTAGCTGAGGAGTGAAACAATATAGAACTGGGGAGAAAAACACAATGGAAAAAAATTATAAAAAAATTATGTTGCTAATGGGATTCAAAACACTATGTAGCTGATGGGGTACGAAACACTATGTAGTTGTTGGGTTACGAAGCATTATAGGGTATATGGGGTGAAGACACTTTATAGCTGATGGTTTAGGAAACAGTATATAACTGATGGGGCAAAAAAACACTATGTAGCTGATGGGGTACAAAACAGTATGTAGCTGATGGGGTACAAAAGACTATGTAGCTGATGGGCTACAAAACACTAAAGAGCTGATGAGGTAAAAAACACATTATAGCTGAATGGTTACAAAACACTATGTACCTGATGGGGTGCAAAACACTATGTACCTGATGGGGTGCAAAACACTATGTAATTGTTGGGTTACGAAGCATTATAGGGCATATGGGTTGAAGACAATTTATAACTCATGGGTTAGAAAACACTAGGGAACTGATGCGGCAAAAAATCCTTTGTAGCTGATGGTGTACAAAACACTATGTAGCTGATGGTTGCAGAGCACTATAAAGCTGATAGAGTACAAAAAACTAAGTAGCTGTTAGGGTAAAAACACTTTATAGCTCACAGGGCAAAAAAACACATTGTAGCTGAGGGATCAAACAAAATAGAACTGGGGAAAAACACCATAGAGCTGATGATGTAAAAATACTATAGAGCTGAGTGGTTACAAAACGCTATATAGCTGATGGGGTACAAAACACTATGTACCTGATGGGGTGCAAAACACTATGTAGTTGTTGGGTTACGAAACCTTATAGGGCATATGGGGTAAAGACGATTTAAAACTGATGGGTTAGAAAAGACTAGGGAACTGATGGGGCAAAAAATCCTTTGTAGCTGAGGGGTGAAACAATTTAGAACTGGGGGGAAAATCACTATTGAGCTGATGGGTTAAAAACTCTATAGAGCTGATGCGGTAAAAAACACTATGTAGCTGATGGTGTACAAAACACTATGTAGCTGATGGGGTACAGAGTACTATAAAGCTGATAGAGTACAAAACACTATGTAGCTGTTAGGGTAAAAACACTTTATAGCTCATAGGGCAAAAAACACATTTTAGCTGAGGAATCAGACAAAATAGAACTGGGGGAAAAACACCATAGAGCTGATGGGGTAGAAACACTATAGAGTTGAGTGGTTACAAAACGCTATATAGCTGATGGGGTACAAAACACGATGTACCTGATGGGGAGCAAAACACTATGTTGTTGTTCGGTTACGAAGCCTTATAGGGCATATGGGGTAAAGACAATTTATAACTGATGGGTTAGAAAAGACTAGGGAACTGATGGGGCAAAAATCCTTTGTAGCTGACGGGTGAAACAAAATAGCACTGGGGGGGATCACTATTGAGCTGATGGGTTAAAAACACTATAGAGCTGATGCGGTAAAAACACTATGTAGCTGATGGCGTACAAAACACTACGTAGCCGATGGGGTACAGAAAACTATAAAGCTGATAGAGTACAAAACACTAGGTAGCTGTTAGGATAAAAAAACACTTTGTAGCTCAAAGGGCAAGAAAAAACATTGTAGCTGAGAGATGAAACAAAATAGATTTGGGGGGAAAACACCATAGAGCTGATGGGGCAAAAACACTGAAGAGCTAATGGGCTACAAAACACTATAGAGCTGATAAAGTAAAACCACTTTACAGCTGAATGGTTACAAAAACCTA